GAAGAGGAAGCAAGTTAACATCATCTCCCCCACCCCACACCCAGGGATCAAAGAAAAAGAGATACCGTTTATTCATCTGAGCAAGGCAAGGCAAGCCCGAGTATACCTTGGTGTTATTTTAGCGGGGTGGGGAGGGAGGAAATGAAAGGAAAACAGTTTTGCTCAAAGGAAATTCCAGCAATAATGAATAAAGCAAACAACGTTGCTGACTGCCTAGGATGGATAACTGAAGTAAATAATGATTTTTCACAGCATTTGGTCTTTTAACGTACTTCATTCCAAATATTCATTCTACTGGGTTGCTGTAAGTTTTTTGGGCTGTATGGCCATGTTCCAGAGCATTCTCTCATGACGTTTCACCTTGTGAGGTCTCACAATCTCTGAGCATGCCTGTCATAGATGCAGGTGAAACGTCAGGAGAGAATGCTTCTGGAACATGGCCATACAGCCAGAAAAACTTATAGTAATCCAGATACATTGAACATCAATCCAGTGATTCTGGCCATGAAAGCCTTCAACAACATATCCATTCTACTGTATATACTTGAGTATAAGTCAACCTTATACATGAGGGGAGGGTTGGGAGGCAAAATGATGGATTTTTTATGATCCGTGGATAAGTCAAGCATCATTCTGCAGAGAAGGGAAAGAGTCAGCAGAAAAAGTAGAGGGTTTGGTGCTTCTTTTAGGTCAGGGGTGTCAAACTCATTTTCATCGAGGGCAACATCACCGTAGCCAGGATTTCGATTCGGGGTGGGGGTGGGGCTGAGTTTGATTCGGGGGGGGCTGAGTCTGAGTGAAAGAGGGTCTATCCTAGCAAACCTTTTGTATCGTTACCCCAATGGGATATATGGAGCATATGGGATATATGGAGCATGGTGATCAGATCATGATATGAATAAACATAACAGTTTAAATAATGCACCAGTAAGGCCTTTTCGCAAACCACCATGAGAATTTCAGGGGGGGGGGGGCTGAAGCCCTTCAGCCCCCCCCCCCTGAAATTCTCATGGTGGTTTGCGAAAAGGCCTTACTGGTGCATTATTTAAACTGATATGTTTATTCATATCATGATCTGATCACCATGCTCCATATATCCCATATGCTCCATATATGCTACATGCCTGGTTTATGGTTGTCTTCAAAGGCCCATGAACAGAGAATCTATGGCTACAGAAGACCAGATAGATAGATAGATAGATAGGTAGATAGATAGATAGATAGATAGATAGATAGATAGATAGATAGATAGAAAGATAGATAGATAGATTACATAGTAGTCTGTGATCTTTAGTTTTTACTCAGTTTGGACTCCCAGATGTTATTGAATGACAACTCCTTTCATTTTTATTATCCATTGAGGATAATATCCATGTGGACTGAAGATAATGGGAATTAGAATCCAACAGCACTTGTAGCTATGAGGTTGGGAAAAGGTTAAAGGACAGTTTAAAATCGGACCTCATATCCACAAGCCTTGTATCTAAATTCTGACTAAACAGAACAAATTGCAGCCTTTCAGATGTTACTGTACCACAACACCCATCAGCTTTAGTTGTGATGTCTAATGGAATGCAGAAGTTGCAGTCCAGCATATGGAAGGCCACATAAAATAACATAAAGGTAAAGGTAGTCCCCTGACATTAAGTCCAGTCATGTCTGACTCTGGGGTGTGGTGCTCATCTCCATTTCTAAGCCGAAGAGCCAGCGTTGTCCGTAGACACCTCCAAGGTCATGTGGCCGGCATGACTGCATGGAGCGCCGTTACCTTCCCGCGGAGCGGTACCTATTGATTACTCACATTTGCATGTTTTCGAACTGCTAGGTTGGCAGAAGCTAGGGCTGACAGCGGAAGCTCACACCGCTCCCCGGAGTCGAACCTGCGACCTTTCGATCAACAAGCTCAGCAGCTCAGTGCTTTAACCCACTGCGCCACTGGGGGCTCCATAGCAGGCCAAATTTTAGCACATGTGTTTTAGGTTAGGACAGGCACCCTTTCCTTCCATGGCTTTTGCCACTCTAAGCAAGAGATTATTTGTTTTTTATCAAGAGCTGAGGTACAGTACTTAGACTGACTCATGGAGAAACTGACCCCATTTTTTGGAATCCTGCAAGTTGTAGTTTGGAAACAACCGAGGACCTTGTGAAGAGAAAGCTAAATAACCTGTAAAACTACAACCCCCATGGTTCCATAGCATCGAGTCATGACAGTTTTAGTGATGTCAAATTGCTTTAATTCTATAGTGTAGATGTACCCTGAGATAATGCTATAACAAATGAAAAGCAACTCACTCTCCCTCAAGGTTTCTTGGGACATGCTTTGACAATTTGGAGGCATCTTCAGGGTTCAGGAAGGTTGAAGGAACATGGAACCAACCAAGGTTGAGATATGGCAAAATGAGTTCTGTAACTTCAAATGTTGGCTGTTCCCTTGAACCGTTCTTTCTTAAGCAATGCATTGGGACATTGACAAAAACTAGTGGCAAACCTATGCTAGTAGGCTGAATTCGATGGGCAAGAGCAATTGCTGAGCATCTAGAACAGCTTGACCAAATGCCCCTCCCTGAACTGCAGAGAAGAAATGTTGCTTTGCTTTGCTGCTGCATTATGATCGAGGTTTTAAAAAAAGATCAGTGTCTGACTTGGTTGTCTGTGGTGCCAAGGGAGCTTTGTGTGTGCTTTAGTCATCTTTCCATTCTTAATTCACTTCATGTTCCCTGTAAAACAGGCCAAGTGACCTTTATTGCAGCCCTGGTCTTGATGTCTTTCTATAACAACCGCTGGCCTTTTTTGCAGAGCCATTCTCCTGTTCACATCTGCATGCATCATCCTCTCTTTTGCATGGGTTGATCCTTTAATTTTGCATAGTGGCAAATAAAGTGAGTGCAGAACCAGAACCATGGTAAAATCCTACCATGGTGTTTTCATCTACTCCTATTCTTGCTGTTTGCTTTCCTGAAAAAACAGCAAAAATAGTTTCCGGAAGGATGGAAACAATGACATTTGTTAGACTTCACGGAAATGACAGGTGGCATTTTATGCCAGGTTCTCACTGCTGATTTTTATTTAGTCTGGCAAAAGGGAGAAATGATGTATTGCAGCAAATCTAGAGAGCAAGCACTGACTAGATGTCTGTTTGCATTTTATAAGGAAGGAAATTCTCAATTTTATTTTTTTTAAGTGGAAGAAATATCTCAAAACTGCAGCCAACTCTCTACATTCCCTGGGATTGGAGTTCAGGGTGCCATGAGAGTGGAAAAAACTTGAATCTCTAGGTTCGCTAGTGCACCTGTAAGGTCAATGTCTGTCAGATGTTGATCATTAGGCTGAAGAGCTCAGAGACTCTGAGAAGTGTTCTCTTTAGGAATCTCTAGGTCTTCCAGCACAACTGAATATTCAGTGTCTAGCAGAAGTTGGCAATGTAATCACACTGGAGGACCTAGAGAGGGCAAACCCAGGCCCGGGGGCCAGATGCAGCCCCTTCGGCTCTTTTCTCAGGCCTTCCTCTCTCACACCATCCTATTCTTCCTTCCTTCTCTCTTTCCTTCTTCCTTCCCTCCCTTCCTAACATCCCTCTTTCTCCTTCCCTTCCATACTTTTGTCCCTCCTTTCTTCCGTCTTTCCTCTCACCTTTGTTCTCTCCCTTTTTCTTCTTTAATCCTTCCCTTCCACCCTTTCATCCTTCTCTTTTTTCTTCCTTTCCTTCCTTCCACCCTTTCCTTCCAGCCTTTCACCCTTACTCCTTCCCCTCTTTCCTCCCTCCCTCCCTCCCTCCCTCTTCCTCTTTCCTCTTTTTCCTTCCTTCTTCTTTCCTTCCTTCTCTTCCCTCCCTCCTCCTTCCCTTCCCTTCCCTTCCTTCTGTCCCTCCCTCCCTCCCTCCCTCCCTCCCTCCTTCCTTCCTTCCTTCCTTTCCTTCCTCCTTCCTTCCTTCTTCCTTCCTTCCTCCTTCCTTCCCTTCCTTCCTTTCCTTCCTCCCTCTCTTCCTTCCTTCCTTCTCTTTTTCCTTCCTCCTTTCCTCCTGGAGGATGTTTTGCAGGGAGAAGGTAGAGAGGGAACATAAGAACCACAAACATCCTTCAGCTTAGGATTTTCACGATTTAAAAGGGTGTCCCATTGAGGAGCAGGGGAAAAACTGATTTTCTGCAGCTCTAGAGACCAGGACAAGAGGGAGCAATGGTTTCAAATGCCAGGGAAAATGATTTGACTGAAAAGATTAAAAAGAACTTCCTGGAGAGTGGCACAGGCTGCCTAGGAGTGTGGTGGAGTCTCCTTCTCTGGAGATTTTTCCGCAAAGGCTGTCTATTGGGAGTTTCTATGATTCTGCCTTCCTACATGGTTGGACTGGATGGCCCTTGGGAGTCTCTTCCAGCTCTAGGATTCTATATCAAGAGTAGGCAGTAAAATGTACGTGGACAGTCAGCATGGTGTAATGGTTTGAGTATGGACTTGGACTGGAAACCAGGGTTCAGTCCCTTGCTTAGCCATAGAAACCCACTGGGTGACCTTGAGAAAGTCGCTGAACTTTGGTTCTCCATGAGTAAGACATAACTTGAAGGCACAACAACAATTTGTGCTGGGCTTCACAATTCCCAACTTTGGTTTGGAGACATGACACTGAGCATACGGTCAGTAAAAATAGTCTAACGATGCCTTGAAGACTGACTATGCATCTGAAGAATTCTGCTCTAGTTTATAAATGCTCATGCTTAAGCAAATTGTTTAAGCTTCAAAATGTGATTATACATATGTGTGTCTGTGTGTATCTGCTGTTATTATGAAGCTTTCAAGTTTCCAACCTTCAGCTCAAGATTTCCAAAGCTCTGATATGCAGAGCTTTCGACCTAGCAATAAAACTTCACACTGTTTTGGTCCCTCTGCTCTGGAGCATCTTTCCCTGAAAACACTAACTGCATCCCTAGCTCCCCAAGTGCCCGTCTGCTCTCGTAGCTTTTGGTTTTCATAGGCGAGCCGTAGCCAATCAGGTGAGTGCCTGGAACTGGCCATCTTCAGTCAGTTTCACTGGGAGTCTTTTGGGTCCCTGCAAGGAGGAGTCACACCATCCGACACACCACTCCCTTTGTCTGCAATGACCTAAAACCTTCGGCTCTGTGAGGCTGCAAGAAAGCAGGCATGCAGTGCAGAACAGAGCTGGACCATTTACGCCTCGTCCAGGGAGGGATGTAGATTTTGCTTTTCCTGACGACTGGAGGATGTGTCGGCGCATCACTCTATCATAGCCGCATCTCAGAAAATCACAAACCTTGCGTTTTCTTCACTGTGGACTGATTCTACAAGAGACTAGAGACAGAGCCTCTGGAAAAGGATCAGAGGCTGTTAGCCTGCCACTCTCTTTCTTTCTCTTTCTCTGATATTGCTGTGCCAACACAACCCACCAAGATGTGCGACTGCTTTCATCTAGTACTTCCTAACTGGCCCGGATCTCCAGCCAGTGGTGGGCTTACCTTTTTTTCCTCCCCTATACTGTACTTTCCTGCTATGCTGCTGCTGTTTTGCTATGCCTTTGCTGGCTGCATCTCTTTCCTTTGCGAAGCCATTGCTGCAGCTTTTAGGGTGTGGCTTCTCCCAGATACTGCATGGATCAGATAAGGGATCCAGAGTCCAGCTGTGACATTCGCCCAGGCGAAACTTTTCCCATCACCTTCCCAGGATGCGCCAAAGTCACTTTTCAAATCTTCTGCAATGTGTATAATTTCGGCTCCATGGTGTTTCTTTTATTTGTTTTCCCCTCCCTTCACTTATGAGGAATATCAGCCTTCTCCCTCTTAACTGCATGCCTTCAATTTCACTCCCTCCTTCCTAGAAATTTTAGAGCACTGTGCATGGCACAATGTAAGAACTGCTCACGCTGGCTTTTCCAACTGCAAAACTGAAAAATATATGATGTATATGTTCTGAATGTGTTCAATGTTTCTCCTCCTTAATTGTTGGAGTTGATGTGCAACAGAAATGAAACTTATAGGTATGAAAGTACAAGTGTAAGGCTTGGAAGTGGCAACGGAGTACCACCGTAAACAACGAACTTTGGAAGTTTCAAATATAATTTTAGGCTGCGTTCGACAAATCATCTTAAGGGAGGAGATGGAAGACTGTTTAATTATTTAAAAATAGTTGGGATTTCAGACAATATGGGATACCTTGCTTCTCAGTCCTAACTGTGTGGGGAAACGCAGGTTTGGGCTGGCAAACTCTGTGCATGCCCAAGGGTGCTCTTTTTTTTATATAAAGTTCTTTATATATTAATGTATTGTTGAAAGCTTTCATGGCCAGAATCACTGGGTTGTGAGTTTTCTGGGCTGTATGGCCAAGTTCCAGAAGCATTCTATCCTGATGTTTCACCTGCATCTATGCCAGGCATCCTCAGAGGTTGTGAGGTCTGTTGGAAACTAGGAAAATGGGGTTTATATATCTATGAAATGTCACACCTACCTCAAACAGACAAGAGTTCTTTCTCCCACCCTGGGCATTTCAGATATAGAAACCCAATTTTCCTAGTTTCCAGCAGACTTCAACCTCTAAGGATGGCTGCCATAGATGCAGGTGAAATGTCAGGAGAGAATGCTTCTGAAATATGGCCATGCAGCCCGGAAAACTTACAACAGCTCAAAGTTATTTATTATTATTATTACATTTATTATATTACATTATTATTATTATTATTATTATTATTATTATTATTATTACATTTACATTATTTTACTCTATTATTACATTTATTATTTTACTCTATTATTATTATTATTATTATTATTATTACATTTACATTATTTTACTCTATAATTATTATTACTAGATTAACAACCCACGTTCTTTATGTATTGTATTTAAAAAAACAATCTGATTAAGGATGATGGAGACAAAGAAAAAGGGGAATGGAGAGTGAAATGTGGAGATGAACAAAACTTGCTAGAGCTTGTTTTTCTTGTTGACATGCAATGATGATGATGATGATGATAATAATAATAATAATAATAATACCACACAATACCACACATGGAGACAAAGAAAAAGGGGAGTGAAATGTGGAGAGGAACAAAACTTGCTAGAGCTTGTTTTTCTTGTTGTTGACATACAATGATAATAATAATAATACCACACAATACCACACAAGGGCAACAAGCTCTTGACTTGTTGTCCTCTATTAACAGAGCAAAGCAGATACCCAATTTGCCTGATAATCATAATCAGATCTGTAATGCAAAATATCCCCCATTCTACCCCCAAAATACAGCAGTAATTGACCGATCTGTTCTAAAGACAAGAAATGTAATTGTCTTGGAGGCTGTCAGGAAACCATTTATTTGATATATTGGGGAAGTGTTATGAAATGGCAGAGAAGGTCGGTGATTAAATGAGAGAGTCAGATGATACGCTAAAGTGCTATCTCTATTTCTTATGAAATCAGTGTTAACAAACCAATCTTTGTCCCAAAGAAATTTGTTTTGTCATTTGAGATAAAAGTCATACAGTCTGAAAAATGATTTTACAAGATGCTTGTAAAACACTTACGCAAAACAAAGACATATGCGATGCAAGTTGGAGAGCTCTTGAAGGGAGCATACTGAATGCATGTGTTATTATAATATCTGCTGTATTGCTCGTGCGTATGTGTGTGTGTGTATAACAAGCCTGTTCTGATCCTGCCTCCTAATGCACTGGAATTTATGGGGGCTCACTTTATCACCCCTTCTTTCTGATGTAAAGCAGGAACTTGACTGCATGGAGACATCCTGTTGATAATTTCTCCATGGGGCCTGGGGTTATGGCTTTCTCTCGGCAAGGAAGAGCAAAACATACTTTATCCCTTCTCTAATCCCAGGATAATATTTTGATTAGGTGATCCCTGTCTGCATACTAATATTTTCCAGCTTTAGATTTTATGGGAACTGGCCAATCAGTGACTCCCTCTTGGAGTAAGCTTTTCCCCATCCCTCAGAGATCTGAACCTATTTTGACTTTAGAACATGATCGTTATTTCACTTTTTAGCAGTCTATATGTGCCTAGCTCACAGAAGTAGTATTATCCTTGTATTGCTCACTTGTTCAGACAGGGCTTTGTCCATCTTTCCCATTCAGAGAATATTCAGTAAATACTCATGTATAACTCGACTTCATGTATAAGTCAAGGGCAGGTTTGCAGGCCAAAAATAAGGATTTTGATTTGGCCCATTGATAAGTCAAAAGTCAATCCGCAGAGGGGGAAAAGCTGCTATTGGCCAGTATTATTTCCCCATCCAGACATTCAAAAAGGCCAGAGTGGTGCTGTGGTGGAGAGAGTAGAGTGGGGCAGACTAAGCTCTCAACTTTCAGCACTCTACTCAAACGAGCCAATGATTCCTTTTTGATAAGAGTACAGTACTCACATTGTCCTATGGATAAGTTGATCCAGGTTTATTAGGTTGATTTTTATTAACATTTCTATACATATATATAAATATATGCAAGAATTAAGAATAAACTATTTGGAATGCCATCTTCTTCTTGGAAGAAGTCCTTTGGGAGACTACAACTACAGCTTCCAGATTCTGGTTTCTGGGAAGGCTTTTTTCTTGATGCCATCATCTTGGGGACAAGACTAGTGTGGACTTTCTTGGTAGCTGGTTCCAAGTTTTGAAACTCCTTGTTGAGGGAGGCCAAGCTAAGCTGAATGTTCCCCCTGCTGTCCTTTGGCCAACAGGCACAGGCCTGGAGCAGGTTTTGACCATCTAGATGGGATGTTGTTTCTATCAGAGGCAATTGAGAAGTTTCATAGTCTTCCAACATAAATGCAGGTTCCAATCAATCTTTCACTTCCATTAAAATCGAGCAGGAAGGAGGCTGGAGCTCTGTGGTTGCCTGCTTGCACTGAGTGAAGACTCAGTCTCAAGCACAGTCTGCATTTCCATTTTAAAAGATTTGACATCTGAGAATGATATCTACTGGAGATAGTAGAGAACAGCTGCCAAAAAAGTGGACAGAACTGAAACAAAGAGACCAGCCGACTGACTCAGCATAATCGATCTTTTATGTAGCAGGTTTACTCTTGAGTTGAATTGATTCTGTAGGCCGTGTATGATCTTAGATAGGATTCTCAGATCTCAGGACCTAAACCATCTTCAGTAGTCTTCAGGGGGAGGAATCTCAGGAAAAGAGCACTATCCTGAAAATATATATGCATATATTTTCTGCCTTTGTTATACTTGGGACGGGGGGCGTTGAATAGTGTAGTTTGTACAACTGTGTTGATGCCTATGTCTCGCGCATAATAACAGAATTATGAGATGCTCCTTGTAATATAATCTCTGTAACAACAGTGGAGTCCGATGCCATGACAAGATGTCATACCCAAATGTCAGTTTTGGTCTTGAAATCTATGGGTATGGGATTGTCAAATCAAGCTACCCTAATTTTAGATTAGGGCTTTGTAATTCAGTTGCCCTGTCCAATTCATGGTATTCTGGGGTGAAAAATCCAGAAGACACAGTCTCTTTTGTGATTTTTAACCTTCTCCTGTCTTTTCTTTTTCTTTCTGCACATACACACACACACACACACACACACACACACACAAGATGGAACCAGTTGGATTCTGTCTTATTTTACACTTATCCATTAAAATAAATGGGATGTGTCCTCTTAAGAGTGCCAAGTCAAAAGCAATCTTCAACATAATAAAATGATGCCTCTTAGACACTGAGAAGACAGTTTTAAATTTTCTAGTCCTCCAAACACAATGCAGTACCTACTGGCAATGAAAAAGAACCATGGGCTGCATCCAGGTTTAGTCATTCTTACTGTAAATTATAAGAATGAAATGAGTCATGACTATCTTAATTCCCTTTCAGTTCCAGGGGGCTATTGAAAACATGACTGTGGTTGGCATCAAACATCTTGGTAGATGGGAGTATTTATTTTTATTGTTGTTATTGATTTATACCCCCCTTTTCTCCTAATAATGGGACTCAAGGCAGTTTACAACATGTTTTAAAACTATACAGATTTTTTAAAAATAATACTATACAGGAACTTCAGTAAAAGTATACATATATAAGTTATTAAAAGTTGAAAGCATCAAAATTCATTAAAAGACTAGAGTTGGCTCTCCACATTTGTGGGTTTAACCTTTTGCATATTTGATTGTTCGTAGATTTCAGGAATATGTTTTCTCTAAGAATGTTTAGGTCCTCCAATGCAACTCTATGGCCAACTTATCTAGGCATCTCTAGATCCTATAGAGTGATTCTATGGTCAATTTCTAGTAGAAATTGACTACAGAGTTACCTTGGAGGACCTTGAGATTCCTAGAAAGGTAAAAACAAACAACACCCCCCCCCCATGACAATGGATGGCCTACTCATTACATAAATTGAAACAGCCCAATATATAATTGAAAGCCCATCTCATTGAGTGCCCAAAAGTCTGATGGTGCAAGTATGTTTTAATTTGGCATAGTAG